TCTTCCCCTGGGCTCCAGCCAAGCCGACCTTGAGCAACCTCGTAATTGAGTCGAAGGGAAGCCCCTTCCCTTTGATCCCTCCCCCGCCGGGAGGGGGGGGGGGGTGTCGACCCCCCCCCCGGGTCAGATACGACGCCCCCCCCTGGGACTCCTCTTCCCCTGGGCTCCAGCCAAGCCGACCTTGAGCAACCTCGTAATTGAGTCGAAGGGAAGCCCCTTCCCTTTGATCCCTCCCCCGCCGGGAGGGGGGGGGGGGGTAGTCGACCCCCCCCCCGGGTCAGATACGACGCCCCCCCCTGGGACTCCTCTTCCCCTGGGCTCCAGCCAAGCCGACCTTGAGCAACCTCGTAATTGAGTCGAAGGGAAGCCCCTTCCCTTTGATCCCTCCCCCGCCGGGAGGGGGGGGGGGGTCGACCCCCCCCCCGGGTCAGATACGACGCCCCCCCCTGGGACTCCTCTTCCCCTGGGCTCCAGCCAAGCCGACCTTGAGCAACCTCGTAATTGAGTCGAAGGGAAGCCCCTTCCCTTTGATCCCTCCCCCGCCGGGAGGGGGGGGGGGGTCCCTCAGATTGGGAGCCCCCGGGGGGGGGGGGGGTGTCGACCCCCCCCCGGGTCAGATACGACGCCCCCCCCTGGGACTCCTCTTCCCCTGGGCTCCAGCCAAGCCGACCTTGAGCAACCTCGTAATCTCTTGCTGCGCATTGCGAACAGGGTCGGCGGCACCGGCCGTCAGGCCTTCGCAATCAAGCGGGAGGGGCGAGGCGGTGGGGGCGGTGCGACGCCGAAATGAAATGGTCGTGGCGGAGGGGGGCGGGGTGCAGAGGGCACTGGGCGGCTTGGGAGGGGGGAAGGGTCGGGTGAGCGGGACGGCGGGGGCGGCGCGAGGCCGAAATAAAGTGGTCGGGGCGGGGGGGGGGGCAGGATGCACTGGGCAGGTGCAGAGGGGGCGGGGGTGCACTGGGCGGCCGCGCAACAGGCGATCCCAGGTGCGACAGTTGCAACATGCACACCGCGGGCATCCAACAACAAGACGTCACGTGGCGCAGCGGCAGGATCCCGAAGTGCTCCCAGGGGCGGGCCACATGTTTTCCTGGCATGCCGCACAGAGCGGGAGGTCCACCAGTGCGACAATGAATTCGCACGCGGAACTGATGTTGGCTTGAACGAGCATGGATATGTTGCAATCGCAGCCCTCGGGGCGGAGAGAACGCCAATTGCTCTTCTGGCCGCCAGCCCTAATTCAGCGGCAAACGAGGGGGGGGGAGTGAGAAGGAGAAGGCCTTCTCAGAAGGCGGCAGGGTTTCTCAGAGGCCCTCCAGCCTTCTGAGAAGCGAAGGCTTCGAAAACTTGTGAGAAGGCACTCTCCTTCTCACTCCCCCTTCCAGGCTCGCCTCCGACTAATTATGTCGCCAATTCCTCGGATGGCATGACCTGCGAGCTGACAGGTAGGTGGCCAAGTTGCCTACGGTAGTGTGTGCTACAGCGCGCGCAGGAGTGTAAGGAAGGCCTGGGCGACGCGCTGCGTCGAGCAGATGCTCGTCCCAGGAACTGTGGACAGTGTCCGCGTGTACCGGGGCTCCCCGGACTCGGAGAAAGAAGGCGGACAGGGCGAAGGAACGCGACGACGCGAGCAGGGCTCCGCTTCCCTAGCCGCCAGAGGCGGACAGGGCGAGCGGGGGCGGCGAAACGTGCGTGGCTCCTCCGAGACTGAATGGTTCTTAGAAACGCTGATGGCGTTTTTGTGGGTTCGTGTTCAACGTTTCGTGCTGAGGTCGACCAAAAAACCAAAAAAGCACGAACCCATAACATAAAACACCAGCCAGGCCCAACACGAGCGGACAACAACACTATACATAACAAAAAACTGCAACCCCAAACAGAAAACACTTAACGGAAACGGACAGCATAAACAACGAAGACAAGAACAAACAATTAAGGAAACGGGCCACCACACGAACCGAACACAACGAGACGGCAACCCCAAAACGGGAAGCGACGTCCGAACAAAAAAAACAACGTACACATCGAAAGCGGAAGACAACACGCCCCCAACGCTCGTAAGACGACCTGAGCTCCGGGAGCCCCCGCCAAGCGGCGACGCGCTTGCGCTAATTACGCCCCAAGCTGCCTAGCAACGTCTCCAGTGCTCCTCCCCCTCCTCCTCCTCCTCCTCCTCCTCCCTCCTCCTCGTCCTCCTCCTCCTCCTCCTCCTCCTCCTCCTCCTCCTCCTCCTCCTCCTCCTCCTCCTCCTCTCCTCCTCCTCCTCCTCCTCCTGGCCAGCGCAGGAGCGCGAGCAGCCCGAGCCGAGCGAGCTGGGGGGCGCCCCGTCGACGCAGGGGCCGCCGGGCGACGACTCGTGCCAGGACCGCGGGCAGGGGCCGGGCGGTCGGGAAGGGCTCGCGGAGCGAGAGGCTGGGCGCGAGCAGCCTGCGGACCCGGAGCTGCACTTGTGCGGACACCGTTATGTCGGGCGTGCCCCCCTACAGGGGGACCTTCGACGAAACATAAAACATACTTCAAACATACCCTGGAAAGGAAAGAGTGAAGAAATCGTCACCACACAATTTTCGGAATATTTTTGGACCATGTTTTGGGGGTTCCAGTTCGGTTTCGGACTCCCGCGATTTACATATTTTATCCAGAAAGCCTTGCTCTCACCTCCTCCCTCTTCCTCCTCCCCCTTCCTCCTTCACTTTCCATCTCTCCTTCCCCTCCTTCCGCCTCCCTCTTCATCCTCCTCCTCCTCCCCCTCCTTCCTTTGTTCCCTCGGCTTCCCCAGAAAGCAACAGACCATTGGGAAAACAAAAAAAAAGCAAAAAACAACAATAAAAACAATGTTTTGGGAGAGTACAGACTGCAAGGCGAATCCGCCCGAAACATTGCTTTTATTCCCAACCATCGTGTGGTGTTGGGTCTTCGTTTTGAAGAGACGGTGCCCCGCGTTCCTCTCCTTCCTCCTCCCTCCTCCTCCGCCTCCTCCCCCCTCCCATCATCATCATCATCATCATCATCATCATCATCATCATCATCATCATCATCATCATCATCATCATCATCATCATCATCATCATCATCATCATCATCATCATCATCATCATCATCATCATCATCATCATCATCATCATCATCATCATCATCATTCCATCATCGTCACCCACACCCATTCGGCACGCCCCTGCTCGGCACACCCCTCCCCCACGGCACCCCTTTTCGTGGCCCCATAGGGAGCTCCACCGAAGGCCCAGATGGTCCCCTGGCACGTTTCCGCACCGAAGGCCCCATTGCGTGCGTCCCTACACCCATTTCGGCACACCCCTCACACGTTTCGTGGCCCCATAGGGAGCTCCACCGAAGGCCCCATGGCTGCCGTCCGCATGCGCCCCGCACACCCATTTCGGCACACCCCTCACACGTTTCGTGGCCCCATAGGGAGCTCCACCGAAGGCCCCAGGGCTGCCGCCCGCATGCGTCCCCTACACCCATTTCGGCACACCCCTCACACGTTTCGTGGCCCCATAGGGAGCTCCACCGAAGGCCCCAGGGCTGCCGCCCGCATGCGTCCCCTACACCCATTTCGGCACACCCCTCACACGTTCGTGGCCCCATAGGGAGCTCCACCGAAGGCCCCAGGGCTGCCGCCCGCATGCGTCCCCTACACCATTTCGGCACACCCCTCACACGTTCGTGGCCCCATAGGGAGCTCCACCGAAGGCCCCAGGGCTGCCGCCCGCATGCGTCCCCTACACCATTTCGGCACACCCCTACACGTTCGTGGCCCCATAGGGAGCTCCACCGAAGGCCCAGTGCTGCCGCCCGCATGCGTCCCCTACACCCATTTCGGCACACCCCTCACACGTTTCGTGGCCCCATAGGGAGCTCCACCGAAGGCCCCAGTGCTGCCGCCCGCATGCGTCCCGTACACCCATTTCGGCACACCCCTCACACGTTTCGTGGCCCCATAGGGAGCTCCACCGAAGGCCCCAGTGCTGCCGCCCGCATGCGTCCCCTACACCCATTTCGGCACACCCCTCACACGTTCGTGGCCCCATAGGGAGCTCCACCGAAGGCCCCAGGGCTGCCGCCCGCATGCGTCCCCTACACCCATTTCGGCACACCCCTCACACGTTTTGTGGCCCCATAGGGAGCTCCACCGAAGGCCCCAGGGCTGCCGCCCGCATGCGTCCCCTACACCCATTTCGGCACACCCCCTCACACGCTTCGTGGCCCCATAAGGTGTGTCGCCGAAGAAGATACTCACAATGGCGGGACCCACGACCGCATATAGTTGGGGTCTTCGCCCGGCTAATTGTTGTGTTTTTTTTTGTTTTGTTGTTCTTTTTTTTTTTTTTTGGTTTTCCAAGGCTCCGATTCAAAAGGGGATTCTGATCAGCAGGAGGGGGAGGTGGAGGAGGAGGAGGAGGAAGACGGCGGCGGCGACGATGGCGACGACGACGACGGCGGCGGCGACGAGGACACAGCGCGCTCGAGCAGGCACGGTGCACGTCGACCATGATTCTTGTTTGCCTCTGCAGAACCTCTGGCTCGCTTCTCTTTCCATCGTGCCTTGATGCGGCAGAAGGGGGCATCCATAAATGGATGCCCCTTCGACGATGTGCCCCTTCGACGATGTGGCCGACATGGAAAGGCTCCCACAGGCCAGTAGCGCCGATCGGATAGCAAAACACAACGGGGAACCCACATAATGGGTTCCCACCTCCGCGCCCGAAACCACTGCCGTTCGTCTGCACGTGATTTACTGCCCGAACCAGAGCCTGAACCAGAGCCAGAACCAGACCCAGAAACTGAACCAGAGACAGACCAAGAACCAGAGCCAGAGCCAACATCAGAGCCAGAACCAGAACCAGAACCAGAGCCAGAACCAGAACCAGAGCCAGAACCAGAGCCAGAGCCAGAGCCAGAGCCAGAACCAGAACCAGAACCAGAACCAGAACCAGAACCAGAACCAGAGCCAGAGCCAGAACCAGAACCGCAATCAGTTCATGGAGTTCGCGGACAAGGACAGCAGGGCCGAGGAACACGGCGCCACCTGGTTAGCCCCATTGCCCCCTCTCCCCCCGACCCCCATCTTCGGCCGCGCGGGCCTTGTGACCGCCGAGCGATTGCGGCTAGCCCAGCAGTGCCGTTGTTCCCCCGCCCCCAGGAGATCAACGACCCGCAGTCGAAAATCTACGGCTGGGAGGAGTCCCGCGTGGCCCAGGCGCTGCGGAACCACGCGAGCGGGCGCATCAACGCCAAGCGCCTCTCTGTCTGGGTGTTCACGCTGAAGGACTTCGGGCCGTGGTTCATCAACGAGGTGCTCGCGAAGGTCCTGCCAACTCTCCGCCGCAACGGCGTGCTCTGGATCGGCAAGACCAAGGTGGGGAAGTCGACGGCGTCGAAGACACTTGCGTTCTTGATGTCCATGCTCGAGATCGATGCCCTTGAGGGCGATGACAGGGAGGGCGCACCTGAGCCTTCAGTTGTCACCGCCAAGCACTTTGATTTCTTCAAGGGCGAGCCAGTGGAGAGGGTGCTGCCTCTGGGCCTGGCGTCAAACTGGCTCCCATTCTTCGACTGCATGGTCATGTGTTCCCAGGAGTACCCGCACTTGAAGATCGTCCACGAGCTCGGCAAGCAGCACAACGTCGCGGGCCCCTGGATGGAGAAGTTCCAGGATGCCGCCGCGCCTTACATCGCCGACAAGATCCCCCTCCCGAAGCTGCACGAGGCCTTCAAGAAACGGGCCAAGGCCCGTGGCAAGAAGGGCGTGAAAAAGACTATCTCCTAGAGAAAGCAGTCCAAATTCATAGTGCAGGCTGACGAGGTCTTCCTGAACAAGTCCAAGGTCAGCCGCCTCGCGCCAGGCACCCGCCCCAAGAAGGATTAAGTATGGCTGTGGGGCGCGGTCGTGCAGGGCAGCCCAGAGAACTTCGTCTTCCGAGTCTTGGGGCACCCAGAGGACGCGTTCGACGGGCGCCCCGCGGAAAGCAGGAGATGGTGACGAATTTCGACACGTTGGGCCTCCGCAAGGGCATGGTCGTCGCCACGGACGGGTGGAAGGCCACGATCGCCACCATCAGGCAAATCAAGGACAGGGATGGATGGTCGGACAGGGACCTGAAGCACGATATTGTCGTCCACTCCAAGGGGGAGGTCAAGAACCAGCGCGGCTTTACGACGAACCACATCGAGAACCGTTGGTCGGTCCTCAAGAGGTGGCTCAAGAAGCGCCTTGGCGGTCGCCTGCCGACTACCTCGGATCGGCGGAAGTGGGCCCGCTGGGTGACGGAGTTCCAGTACAGGAAGAACGTCACAAAGACGCTCTCGGTCGATGGCGGCAACACCTACTCCCTGCCGACGAAGGCGTTCCTCTCCCACGTGGCGGAGGTCACGCTGGCTGGGGGGCTTTGACGCGGCGCCTCGGGTCCTGACGCAGCAAGTAGTCTCGAGGCTCGGCAGCGCTTGTGATGCAGGCAAAATGCTGGGCTCGCGCGTGCATGGCGTGAGAATGGGGCCACCCATGCCTGGAGTTGAACAGCGAACCCACGTCACTGCGGCAAACAACATCATCCAATCATCAGCGCCATCGCCATCGCACCACGCCGCATTCGCAGAATTCCTTAAATCGCGGGGGTCCGAAACCGAACTGAAACCGTTTTGGGTATTTTTTAGATTTCGTCGAAAATCCCCCTGTAGGGGGACAGGCCCGACTTAAGGATACCGTGATCGCCTCGAGGCAATGGACAGGCGCCCTCTGCCGAGGGAGGGGCGGGCACGCGCGATACCCGCCGGCGAGGCGACGGGGGCGCTCTCCGGGCACTCCCTGGGGAGGTGCAGCCTCGAGTTTGGGGGCAGCGGGAGCCGGTGTGCTCGGCGCCCGCTCTGGCCCCAGGAAGACGCTGAACGGGGCGCACGTGGGAGCACACGGCCTGCTGCGTGCGGCCGCCCCTGGGGAAAGCGGCGCTGGCGTCCCAGGAGGAGGCAGCGCTGGTGGCCACGGGGGGGGGGCGGCGCAGGTGGTCCATAGGGCGAGAACGATGTCAGGGCAAGATTGGCTCAAGATGCGGTCCAGGATTTCCGAATAGTACCTAGCGACCCTGATTTGTTGCAGCCCGTGTGGGACCACTCGGCGATGTTGGAGATCCTGGAAACCTTGGAGTACCATTATCATGACCTCTTGGTCCTCTGAGTCTAGGCCACCGCACCAGGAAGAGTTCCTTCTGATGGACCTGTTTTCCACCACCACCACCACCAGAAGTTGGAGGGGGGAAGGAGGTGAAGGACGAGGAGGAGGAGGACGAGGAGGAGGAGGCGGACGAGGAGGAGGAGGAGGAGGAGGAGGAGGAGGAGGAGGAGACGACGAGGAGGAGGAGGAGGAGGAGGCGGAGGAGAGGGGAGGAGGAGGAGGAAGAGGAGGAGGAGGAGGAGGAGGAGGAGAAGGAGGAGGACCCCCTCCCCCTCCAACTTCTGGTGGTGGTGGTGGTGGAAAACGAGCCCATCACCGTGAGTCCATGCCCGGAGCGGCCCCGCGGCCAGCCAGGCGGGGGGCGGCCTCGTCAGGGGCAGCTGGCGGGCGCCCTTGGCGGGGGGGTGGGGGGGGGGGGGGGGCGGCCCTGGCGGCCTGGGCACACACCCATGAAGGGCTTGTTTTCCACCACCACCACCACCATACGTTGGAGGGGGAGGGGGTCCTCCTCTCCTCCTCCTCCTCCTCCTCCTCCCTCCTCCTCTTCCTCCTCCTCCTCCTCCTCCTCCTCGTCCGCCTCCTCCTCCTCCTCCTCCTCGTCCTCCTCCTCCTCGTCCTTCACCTCCTTCCCCCCTCCAACTTGTGGTGGTGGCGGTGGAAGCAGGTCCATCACACCAGACGGCACCTGCAAGCGGCGCCGCATCCGCGGGAGGCGGCGATGGTGGCCGGGCCTGCGCCGGGAGGCAGGGGAATCCGCACCAGCTGCCCTGCCGTCACTGCTGGCAGCTGCGCCAGGGGCAGGGGGTGGCCGCACCAGCGGAGGAGGCCGCCGAGGCAACACTCACCTGGTGGCCTTGGCGAAAGCGAACCTGCCCACGAGCATAGCGAGCATGTCGGTTCCACGCCGTCTTCTTCACCTGGCCTAATTGAAGACAGCACGGTCTCCTCGGGGCACCGCTGTCGCTCTGGTCGCGCCCCAGAGGCACGTCGAGCAACTGTCCCGACGAGTCGCCGATGATGAGGGGTCGCCAGTACCTGGCACACACAATCCCAGATCTCCTCGAGCGGGGACAGCGGCTAGGAACGAGTGTGGAACAGGAGATAGGGAAGGAGGAGGAGGAGGAGGAAGAGCAGGAGGAGGAGGAGGAGGAGGAGGAGGAGCAGGAGGAGCAGGAGGAGAAGGAGCAGAAGGAGGAGGAGGATCAGCATCCCTCCCCTCCCATGGATCTTCCTCTGGTGACCTTCGTGCATCTGGGCGGAAGGGAGGCCCCAACGGAGGCTTCGCTACTCACATCTACGGTTCCTCCGTCGGCTGGCGATCGAGGCAGCACTCTGACCGTGCTCGTCGTCGTCGCTGGCGGCGGGGGCCTCCCCTCCCCGCCGTGGCTCGCGCAGGCCTCGCCAGGAAGGCGCCGCGCGGAGCCGCCCCGGGCGAGACGCGGCCGTGCGGCGACGCCGCCTTCGCCGCGCCACACCCCAAGGGGGGGGGGGCGGGCGAGCGTCGTCGACGGTGTCGTCGCCGTTGTCGTCGACGCCGTCGAGGGGGAGGACGTCAACGACACATTGTCGTCGACGTCGGTGCAGCGGAGGCCAGTCCACAAGAAGCCTTCCACGAGGAGCCCAACCCCGAGACCCCGGGACGTCCATTGATGTTCGGTGTGGGCACGTCACGCTTCCCACAGCATGGCCATCGAGACCCAAGAAACCCAGGGCACCCTTAACAAACCTCGAACGTAGCCCTATCCCTAAGGTGGGCGAGCAGAAAGCGAGGACAATCTTAGGGATAAGCCCTCAGAAACTGAGGGAATCCTTAAGATCGGCATCGAGGTGAGGTGATGTCAAACATAGGGATAGGGATATGTTTCAAACTGGTAAACCTTGGAGGCAAGCAGGGTGTTTCTTGGCATGGGTCTCCGCTGTACCGTCGACGTCATCGACGTCGCCGTGCGTGCGGCGACGCCGTGCAGCCCCGCCCGCCCTCCAGGGGGGGAGCAAAAGGACTTCCCCAGAACTCGAGGCTCGTCGTCGCCGTCGGCGACGTCGGTCTGCAAATTTGTTGGGCGTGTCTTGAGGTCCTCGTCGCCGCGGCTGGACCCGGCTCGAAGCACTGCCCTGGAGAGACCTCCCCAGACCCCCCCTCCGAGCCGTGACCAACAAAAGTGACGGACGTTTTTTTGTTGTTTTTGGTGTCAGATGAAGTCGGGTCGGCGCTTCGGCAGTCGGGTGCTCGGCGGCAGCTTGGGAGAAACAGTAACTCCACGAGGGGAAATCCAAACCAAAGTCGAAGACCAGAGCCGAGCAAATCATGACGGACGGCGTTTGCTGGCGGCGCGCACAAAGAGGTAGTGCGAGGGGGGAGGCTCCTTAGAAAGAGGCTGCGTCTTAGAGAGCGCTGGCCCTGCATCTACAGACAAGGCCCGCGGCTTCTGAAAAGCAGGGGTGCTTCTAAGAAACCTTCCCCCCTCCCCCTACAGTGTGGGCGCGGCCGGGAAGAAACCCAACCCTGAACACTCGCGCGCGAGGTGTACCCGAGAGGAAACCGAGGAGCACCCTGAACGCAGCAGCTGCTTCAACGGGTTGCGGGAAGTCACCGCGCAGCGCGCGGAGCGAAGCAGCCCGGGATACCCCGACCAGAAGCATATGGTTTCTTGATGCGCGCCCCCTGTGTACAGCCTCTGCGCGTGGCTAACTATAATTAGAGGCTTCCTACATGTGGTCGGCGTAGATGTTGTCGGAGGATTGCGCCGCATCGCCGAAACATCGGCAATGCATCGGCGATGTATCGGCGATGCATCGGCGATGCACTGGCGATGCATCGCCGACGTGGGCGATGCAGCGGCGACGTCGACGTGAAGCAAATCGGGCTCCACATCGAGCCGCATCGCCGATGCATCGTCCATGCGGCGCGATCCACCGACCCCGTCTGCTCGGACCCCATCCGGGGGGCCTGGACTACTGCTGCCCCCTCCACGCGTGGCTGATTCTGGCAGCCTTCGGCCTCTCGGCGTCGGGCGCGGCGCTGGCGAGGGCCGCCCGCGCCCGCGGGCCGCCGCGGGCCAGGGCCGCAGCGGGCGCCGAGGGGCGAGGGCGGGGGGCCCCTTGCTACGCCGCGGGGCCGTGATCCTCGGGATGAGGGCGCCCAGTCTCGAAAGGGGGCCCAGGGACACACGTTTGTTCCGTCCGCGGCGAGGCGGTGAGCTCCGCTCCGCCGAGAAGCCAGATAGGGACACTAACTCGCGAATTGGCCGGCGGGCAAAGATGAAGGGGCCCTGGGACAAACAAATAAATACACACAAATAAACCGATTCCCCATATTTTCCTATATTTTCTGGGTTTGCGTCTTCCCCCCACTTCCCATATTTTCCTATATTTTCTGGGTAATCGACGATGAATTGTGTCTGTGTGTGTTTTTCCCCTCCTGGAAAGAGAGGGAGGGGGGGCAGGACGGCCGAGAGGAAGGAGGTACGCTCCGGCGCCGAAGAGTTCGACGATGAGCAGCAGGGGGGGCAGCAGCAGCAGCCAGGCGCGCAGGGCCAGAGCGCGGCGGGCGGCCGTGGCGAACCACAGTGGCAAGGGTGGCGGGGAGCGGCAGCCAGCGGCTGAGGCTGGCGGGGGGCACAGTGGGACACCGCGAACGACGCACCGCGGCGCACCGAGGAGAAGGCTCTCACCCACACACACACAAACACACAAACACACAAACACACACGCACACGCACACGCACACGCACACACGCGCACGCACACACGCACACACGCACACGCACACGCACACACACACACGCACACACGCAAACGCACACGCACACACACACACACACACACACACGCACACGCACGCGCACACACGCACACGCACACACGCCACCATCGCACACACACACACACGCCCACGCACACACGACACCGACACACGCACACACGCTCACACGCACTCACGCAAACACGCACGCGCACACGCACACGCACGCGCACCACGCCCGCGCACACGCACACGCACACGCACACTCACACACAATCACACGCACCACTCAACACGCACACACGCACACACGCACCACACGCACACGCACACGGCACACACAACACACACACACACACGCACAAACACACACGCACACGCACCACGCCACCCGGCACACGCACTCGCACACACGCGCACGCACCCACACACGCACACACGCAAACGCAAAGCATACACACACACACACGCACACGCACACGC